CTTTGATCTAATGGTCTATTACTCCGAACAGATAGTGTAAATGAATGAGCCGAAAATGACCGAATAGTCAGTAACGGGTTAATTATGACAGTCTAGACAATTGAAACAAATAATTTCAATGATATCTCTATCTATTTTTTGTATCAGGATTCTGCAAGATAGTCCCAGGATCAATAGTTTTGTAAAGTTGATCTCATATAAACTCTTTGATACAATTGATGAATTACATTGTCACATATATTTTTCCGTTCTAATACATATTGATAAACCAAAGCTTAGGTTTTCTATTAAAGGTGCTATGCTGATTGTTAAAAAAAGCTGAATTTCACTGAGAGAAACGCAGGCAAGATTGAAAAAAAGTGATTTCGTAGATCCATTATTTAAAAAAATGTAAAAGAAATATGAGGTAAAAATTGAAAATCTAGATCACATATTTTGATTGTCTATATGTTTCCTTCTCTCATTTGCGCATTCAAATTTCATAGTAATTTACTGAAAAATTATCTTTTGATGCGTGGCAAAATACGTGGAATAAAAATCAATTTAAAGAAAAGTTTAAATGGGAGAAGACCCGCTATGATACAGTATAGTAAATCTTTGAAATTAACTGACAATGCAGTTTTTTTCTTATTTTTTGTTATTATAAAACTACATTTATCTATTTAGAATTGAAATATTTTTTCAGTTATGATTCATGATTGTTAAAGGTAAAGAACGAGAAAATAGTCAAAATAGCATCTATTTTGACAATGAAGAGAAAGAAAGAAGCATTATGAAGATATCACAGAGCGATTGTTTTGGCCTTGTGCCGTTTTTTTTGTTATTATTAACTATTCAACCATGCTGGCCCATGTGTGTATGTTGTAGTTATTTGATAGAAATGATATTGTTGTTTTTTTTGACATTGTTTCATCAATGAAAATACAGTATATCCTATGTAAGTTGTACACTACCAAAATAGAAAAAAAAACATTTCTCATTTAGATAATGACTTTATCAATTAGCGAAAAGACACTTTCAATGTCGTAAACTAGTTATGAATATTTAAACCTTAACAGCTATACTTATTGAGAATAAATGCTCTTTTTTTGTTTTTTGATAAACATAGTTTACTCAAAATATAAAGTTCCTGCATTGTTGATATAGCGATTGGGGCTATTTTTAACGAAAAGATAGTTTCTTTTTTCTATAATAAATATCAAATGAAGAAAATTTCGTCATATACTATCAAAGCGAGTGACAAGAAGAAAAGTGTAAACATATATTATATACGAATGTTTACGATAAAAAAAGTTACAAAAATAACAATAACATATGTTCTCCTGCTTGATCTCATTTGAGTATGCAGTGTATCTAATACATTTACTAACAAAATAAAAATAAGATAGATATTTAAATACGATTATTAATAATGAGAGGAAATTAATTATGTATGCCCGTTTTGCTATTACATCACTGATTAAAAAAAGTGGGTTTCATAGAATAGAAACAGAAATCATATATTTTCAAAATTACTAGTAATTATTTAAAAAGTAACTCGTTGATAACATTTATGACTTTATGGGTCAATAGTCATACCACATTAAAAAAACGTGAGTGTATTCTTTTCTAGTAGACTTCATATTATATGTATGACATTGACATAAATCAGAATGAATGTCATTGAGAGAAACTTTCGACAACTATTAAACATTATTATGTGAACAGTAATTGTTTAGTTTCTATAGAGAAGTGAAATATTATTATCTCACGATTGTTATTATTAAATTTTAAGACATAATCGTCTTTGATTTAGTATTCTTTTCTGGTAACTTTTTCTATCCATTTTTCTGAACAACAAATACTAATGATTTGTATTCTTATAGATTTTTCATTCATATAATCACTTTGATCAATAATGCAAAAAAATCTCTCCAATAATCGAACGATATAGTAAAAGCTGCGCTAGGTTTTGCATAGGGATTTCTTCAAAGATTTTATAGACAGGTACGGTTCAATAACTCCATAATTTACTAGTGTTTGAACCACTAGCATCTGTTGAAGATTTTTCTGTTTCTTCCTAAATCTCACAGTCACTATATTAATACCTGAATTATACGAATCGTTTCATATTTTACCCATTTGTTTTTCTAAGTACAAGGATATTATTGAATAAAAAAATATTTAAATCACAGTTCTTAACAAAAACAATCATTTTTTTCGAAAATATAGGTGGCATACGCACTTTCCATCGTCAAATATTTGATTGAAGTGAATAGAGGATGTATCCTGTAGTGAATAATATATATCTCTATGTTTCTAAGATATTTATAGAACAGACAAAATAGAAAATGACTCGATTTCAGACAGAGAAGATATAAAATTCGAAATGAGAAACTGATTTGTCAGATAAAAACAAAACTTGTAAGAAAGTATGTCTTGTTACATTCTTATCCTGACTGTTTTCTATGTAGATAATATTTTCAATCTTTATTAAACTTCAAAACTTTTCATAATTCGCATTTCATACAGACTGGATCTTTTGTATAAATTTTGAGAAGCACGTTCAATGAAGTCCTCAATCAAATATTTTAAATGAAAAAAGAAACAAACTGTCTATGTATTTATCCATGCGAAATTAGAATCTGTAGACCAATCGATTTGTTCTTCTTGAAAGTTTTATTTATCAAAAAACTACATTTATTTCATATATGAAATGCAGGAGCACTGCTGTATACATAGAGTGACTTTAAAAAAACTATATAGTTCAATAGTAGATGTTCAATAGCTGATAACTGTATGTTGTTCATTTCGATTTTTATGATAGGTGAATTAATTTTCAATGGATTATGGTAATATATCAATTTGAAACTTAGATGATCAACAACATTCTAGCATCAGCAATCAACAACGCCAAAGCTCCACACTGAATCCAGTTAACTTAGGAAGACTTTTCACAGTTTATAATATAGTGAAGACTTCTTTAATGACTACAGTATTTGTGTAAATCTCTTTCTTTTCTTTACAACTACCATCATGTATTTAAATTTTCCATTAGAAAATATTTTCATCAGTCAAAACATCGATCTTTAACAGCTACAGGTGCACTTGCTCTCTTTACCAGCCTGGTAATATCTGTTGGTGTATTAGTAATTTGTCTGACTGCATCAAGAGCAAGAAGTATGTTCTTATTTTTCTTCACACTAAAACTATTATATCAATAAATTCCAATCACATTTCAGTCTTGCCCGAATATATGCTCTTTAAAAACTTTTAAATATTAATGTTAGAAATTTTAAAAATTTACTAGGTGTAAAAAGTATCTCCGTGATCCAACATCTAAATATTTCATATAATATTTTTCTTGTGAGTCTGAATAATAGTATGATAAGACAATAAGTATTAAGTAATGAACTATCAATAAACATTTATTATATTATTTATTGCTGATTTGCAGTACATGTAAATAACTATTCGTAATTGATTTATCGATAATACTATCCCCCTACAACAGTTCGAAAGTTTCATCATTGGATTGAATTTATTGCTGAAAATATAGTTTTCAAAGAAATCGACTGATTGCGAAGAAATTCAACTTAAACATGTAGCTTACGGTACTCTAACAACCACACTCATATCATTATTTCTTTCTTCAAACGATGAGTCTTTTTCACAAATATTAAAGTAGATGAAAGACTGTGAATGAAGAAACAATCTGATTAACGTTTTCAGCTTATCATACTTGAGTTTCTGCAGACCAAATCGAATTACATGAAAAAGTATCTGTGTTGATCATATCCAAGTGTAGTAGTGCGAAAAACTTCGATATTCACTATACAACTTATGAAGATCTGACAGAATCTCAACATAGATAGTTGGAGCCCAACAATCGATCAGGTTTTCCATCATCTTTCTAGTTTCATTTAGTTCACAAGTGTGACTTGAAGTTTCTGTCAACAGCTCGAAACCCTATCGAATATAACTATGGCCCTTGCTCAATTGCCGTTGGCAATTTCAACAATGACAAGTGGTTGGATATTGTTGTTGCCAATCGTGACATCAACGGTATATCTATATTTCTTGGGTATGGTGATGGAAAGTTCAAAAGTCATATGATATATCGGACCGGTTCACATTCTGCTCCTTACATGGTTGCAGTTGGGAATTTCAACAATGATCATTGGCTTGATATTGCTGTTGCACATTTTGGTACTAACAGCATAGGTATATTCTTGGGATATGGGAACGGCTCTTTTGACAATCAAAAATTAATCTCAACTGCATTATCTCGCCCACTCTGGATCCATATAGCTGATCTTAATAATGACACATTACTTGATCTTGTCACCGCTAATTATGGCACTCACAGCATCAGTGTATTCTATGGCTATGGAAACGGAAATTTTTCACATCCGATCACATATTCAACAGGCTATGATTCTTTATCGTTCTCAGTCATCGCTGGAGATTTCAACAATGACGATCAGTTGGATCTTGCTATTGCTAATTATGCTACAAATACTATTGATATATTTCTTGCAAATCATAGCAGAAACTTTCTATATCATAGGAAATTTCCAACTGGCGTTAACTCTCATCCACACTCGATCGTCGTTGGACATTTTAATGAAGATAACCTACTGGATATCGCTGTTGCTAACTATGGAACTAAAAATGTAGGTGTACTTTTAGGTGAGGGCAACGGAAATTTTGCAAGTCAAACCACATATTCACTTGGTACTGCTTCTCCCTTTTCCATTAGTGTTGGTGACTTCAACAAAGATAATCGGTTGGATTTAGTTGTAACTAATAGAGGTAATAATAACATTGGTATACTACTGGGATATCTCAACAGCACTTTTTCTCAAGTAACGATGTACTCAACCGGATCTTTATCGTCAATCTCAGTCGCTGTAGGTGATTTCAACAATGACAATCTACTAGACATTACTTTTATCAATAATGATACCAATAGCATAGATATTCTCTTTGGTTATGATGAAGGCTTTCAGACTCAAATAATGTATACAGCTGGCTCTAGTCCACAGTCTGTAGCTGTTGGTGATTTCAACAACGATGATCAACTGGATATCGTTGTCGTTAATGGCGAAGGCAATAATATTGGTGTATTTCTTGGATATGACAATGGCTATTTTGCCAATCAAATGGTATACTCAACTGGTTCTGATCCACGTCATGTAGCTGTCGGTGATTTCAACAACGACACTCAACTGGATATTGTTGTCGTTAATTATATTGACAATAATATTAGTGTGCTTCTCGGATATGGAAATGGTTCTTTTACAAGTCAAACCACGTACTCAACGGGTATTGGTGCATTATATGTAGCACTTGGTGACTTCAATAATGACACTCGACTAGATATCGTCGTTGTTAATACTAATGACAACAATATAAGTGTGTTTCTCGGATATGGTAATGGTTCTTTTGCCAACCAAATCACGTTCGCAACTGGTTCTTCTCCACAATCTGTAGCCGTAGGTGATTTCAATAACGACAATCGAATGGATGTCGTCGTTCTCAATCATGATGACAATAACGTAGGTGTACTTCTCGGATATGGGAATGGTTCTTTTGTAAATCAAATTACATCTTCAACTAGTTCTGATCCACGAATTGTAGTTGCTAGCGATTTTAACAACGACAACCAACTAGATATCGTCGTGACGTATTATTTTGACACTAGTATTGGGGTATTTCTTGGATGTGGCAATGGCTCTTTTTCAAAACCATTCACGTATTTAACTGGGTCTTATGTATTCCATATCGCTGTCGGTGATTTTAATACTGACAATCAATTGGACATTGTCGTTACTCATAATAGTGAGGAAAATATTGGTGTACTTCTTGGATATGGCAATGCCTCTTTTGCAAATCAAATTACATATGCTTTTCCCCGTTCTCCATTCTATGTAAGTGTTGGCGATTTCAACAGTGATGCACGTCTCGATATCGTCGTCACTGATTCTATGGAAAAGAATGTAGGTGTACTTCTCCATTATGCTCGAGCGTCTTTAGGAAAGGAAATAATATTTGCAGTTGGTAGTGGTGCTCGCATACAACACGTAGGTGTTGCTGATTTTAATAGTGACGCAATACAAGATATTGTTGTTGTCAATTATGGTACTAATAATATAGGTGTACTTCTTGGACATGGTGATGGATCGTTCCTAGAGCAAACGACTTTTTCAACTGGCTCAATGTCTAATCCTTATTCAATCGTCATTGGTAGTTTCAATAACGACGATTATCTTGATTTTGCGGTGGCCAATCATGGTACTAAAAATGTCGATATGCTTCTTGGAGATGGAACAGGAGCGTTTGCACGCCAGATACCTTATGGACGTCGTTTAGATTTTGCTCCGTCAATTATCGCTGCAGGTGATTTCAACAAGGACGGACAATCAGATATTGTTGTCGCATATAATGACTTGGATCATATTGATATACTTGTAACATATAATACAGGAACTTTTAGAAATCAAGCGACGTATTCGACTGGCTCTTATCCATTGTCTGTAGCTACTGGTGATTTCAACAACGACATGCGACTAGATATTGTCGTTGCTAATCTATATGATGGCAGTGTCAGTATATTGCTCGGATACGGCAATAGCTCTTTTGCAAATCAAATAATATATTCAACTGGTTCCTTGCCAATTAAAGTAGCTGTTGCGGATGTTAATAACGATAATCAATTGGATATTCTCGTCATTTATTCTGGTAGCGATGTTGGTGTGCTTCTTGGTTATGGTAATGGTTCTTTTGCTAATAAAACAACATATGCAACTGGTATTTGGCCATCTGATATAGTTGTCGGTGATTTTAACCAGGACACTCAACTGGATATCGTCGTCCTTAATAGTTACAACGCCACTCTAAGTATACTTCTAGGCTTTGGTAATGGCTCTTTCGCAAATCAAATCACGTATTCACCTGGCTCTAATCCATCTTTTATAGCTATCGGTGATTTCAACAACGACACTCGACTAGATATTGTTCTAATTAATTCTAATGACAGCACTGTAAGCCTACTTTTAGGATTTGGCAATGGTTCTTTTACAAATCGAGACATTGATGCAAGCAGCTCTATTCCAAATTTTGTAGATGTTGGTGATTTTAATAATGATAATCAATTGGATATCGTCCTAGTTAAATCCAATGAAAGCATTGTAAGCGTACTTTTGGGATATGGCAATGGTTCTTTTGCAAATCAAATAACATCTTCTGGTAGTTTTGACACGCTATCTCTAAATGTTGCTGATTTCAACAACGATACTCAACTAGATATCGTTATCGTTAATTATCAGCATAACAGTGTAGGGATACTTCTCGGATATGGTAATGGTTCTTTTGCAGATCAAATTACCTATTCGACTGGATCTTATCCAGTATCTGTAGCTGTCGGCGATTTCAACAACGACACTCAACCAGATATTATCGTTGTGAATTCTTATGACAATAATGTGTGTGTATTTACTGGAGACTTCAATAGGATTTTTGTATATCAAAATACACTTACAACTGGTAAAGGATCTCTTCCACGGTCATTCATCATTGCTGATTTTAATGATGACACTCATATGGATATCGGTGTTGTTAATTCAGGCACTAATAATGTGGGCATTTTTCTTGGATATAGCAATGGCTCTTTCGCAAATCAAATGACGTATCCATCTGGTTCTTCTCCGTGGTCTATAGCTGTGGGTGATTTCAACAACGATACTCGACCAGATATCGTCGTTGCTAACTCTGATGACGACAATATAGGTCTACTTCTCGGATATGGTAACGGGTCGTTTGCAAAGCAAATTACGTATTCAACTGGCTTTAGTTCTCAACCATATTCGATTGCTGTTGGTGACTTCAATAATGACACCTTACTAGATATCATCGTCACTAATTATGGTACCAACAATATAGTTGTATTTCTTGGATATGGCGATAGCACATTTGCTGATCCGAAAGCGTTTTCAGTAGGTTTTGGATCTTCTCCATTTTCTGTTGTTGTTGGTGATTTCAATAATGACAAAAAGCTGGATTTTGCTGTCGCCAACTATGATAGTGACAGTTTAAAAGTTCTGTTGCAGAGTTGTTAACGAACATCTTTAAGGTTAAATATTTCTTTTATTCATTTTGTCATAATATCCTATAGTGATACTAATATTTCTTGTAATTCTTTTTCTTTTACTTGCTTGTTCTGTATTTTCAAACAACTAAAACTATCTTGAAGCAGTGAATGTGAATATGATTGTCTTCTTCTCTAACATACATGCTCATAGTCACATCTACAATCATGCTCTGCTTCCAACTGATTCTTGCTTTACAGCTAAGTACGAGCAAATAAATAATACTTCATCGCTTTGTTTTGTTCGATCATAAACAGTGAGTTTATCTTCTTCTGTTTGAGAGATTACTATATTTTCCAAATAATGTGAAGCACAGTCTAATAGCGAGATATGACACAGTATTCAGGTGAAATTTTCTCTTGTCGCATATATATGAGAAAGAAGATTTACAAAAATATGCTGTAAGGCTATAGTTGGGAATTCAATAACAAATATCAGCAGTTTAATAAGAAATATTTAGGAAGTAAATTACGAATATTAATTATGAAGATAGAACAACCAAGAGGAGATCCTCAAAAGCTTGCATTTGCAATCATTTGAGCAGGCAAATCCGATTAATTTATATGAAAACTTATTTATTTTCTATGGTAATAGTTCTGACGTAACAGCAGATGCCATAGTAAATATAACGAACGAAGAGTTATTCGAAGGTGGCGTCCTCGATCATCTGATGCATAACGTAGCTGAAACATCGCTCAAAACTTCACAGGCATAGCTTGTTGTTTTCTTCTTTTTCTTTGCTATTAAGATCATATCAGCGACTTTGAAATTGGCGTATCAGAGAAACATACACCCAACCTTTGTTACTGTTGCCCTTTTCTTTTTCTGATGAAGATGTCAAGAATCTCGAGATACTATGAATTTGAACTATGTATCGTTAATATCGAATGCCGATTATTTCTATCGTCCAATGTTGTCTTGACTATCAATACTTCGGAGTTTTTCTTTGCTTATATACTTTTTTTCAATGGCTTATGTAGGATAGATATGAATGAAACATACGTTTTTTTACATTGAAAAAGCAAACAGAAAAGAGCAGTTTTTTACTTCTGTAAAAGCCAAGTATGTCCACATCCACATCATCTTCAAATTCGCTTTCTGTTTCAAAAAGTTTTTTTATTTTTGAAACCGTAAAAGGCACCTATTTAACACGTTAACAAGATGTAGGATATCTTAGGTCTAGATTCAAGTATTTTTAGGGTCGTATCGCCCAGAGAACTTGCTTCAACAGAACTTTTGAAGTTCCTAGTACCATTTTACGAGCTCTACCCAGTGGTGAAAACTCTATCTCAATAGCATCATCCATTATCGAGCTGTACGTCTCACAATGCTAAGCCTCCATACTGTAGCGAGATCTACTATAAATGTAGCCTTATTAACTGAGCGAATTTGTCGTACAGAATGTTCCAATAAATATAAATCCGATTTTCAGTACAGCTCCAACAGCTCTATCCAATGGCGAACATTGTATGTCGATACATTCGATTGTTTACCAGATATTGTCATGATATCGGTGCCCATCGCTCCATCCAACTAATATTTCTCGATCCGATTCGCCTATGAAGGTGTTCCACATAATCTAAGATATGTTCCAAATTTAATTTAAGGAGCTGTATTCATTGGTGAATACTCACAGGTCATACAATGCTCCTATCCTGAGTTATTACCGATTTGCAAATCCATCAGGTTCGCTGATGACATATTTCTTCGGCCGATTTGCCTGTGAAAATCGGTAATAACTCAGCATAGGCTCACTGTATGACATGTGGGATTTTACTAGTGGATATAGTTCGGAAAACTACACTTGGACAAGGTTTTGATCAGTTGGATCACTTTCACAGAAGAATGGGCTCAAGAAACATTAGTTGGATGGAGCGATTGGAACTAGTATCACGGTAATATCTGACGAACAATCAAATCTATCGAGATGTGGTTTTTATCACTGGATAGAACTCATTGAACTGCACTTGTAACATTAAGGATTTTATTAAAACAAGTTCCTAGACGACTACACCTAAGAATTACATTTTTTGGAACTTGTTGTGGTGGACGAATAATGGTAATTTTGCTATGCCTCAGTTGTTATAATATGTGTGAAGAAGCGGTTTTCATAGTTCGATGTAGCTCATTGAGCTCTACTTGGAACAGGAAATAGCTTTGTTATAACAAATTCCTCCGTAAATCGGCCCAAAAAGTACTGGAAATGTAGACATAAGATATCCTACGTTGTTGTTAAAGAGTTTATTTGATAGAACTCACGACAATATTTGAAAAAGGTTATTATTGTCATAGTTTGAGAGCACAGTGAAACGTTTCGACTTGCTTATTGCCACTAGGCATGGTGATTTAAATCATCTCGAGTTTGTTTCACTACTAGTTGAATTTTATTAATTGATTGTTGTTCTCCCATATTTATACGAAATATAAGCGGATAAATATTGATCTCTTTATTTAAAGCTCGCTGGAGAATATCATGTTCTTGGCCAATAACTTCCATTCGTGTACTAAAAAAAGGATTTTCTTTGTGAAATTCACATTATGTTTTTCGAAGAAAAATTTAATGAGTGTAAGTTTCAAGTCGAGATTTTGCGACTTCACCCCAACCCGTTACCTGCATAGCAACAAGGAGAAGAGTTTAGGAGAAAGGCCAACAATCATTAGGTACATTTTCCTAGCAACTGAGGACAATAGACGTTCGACGCCTTTCTCAGAATTCCTTAGCAATGAGAAAAGGCACTAAACGACATTAATAACAAAACTTAGATAATTTTAGAAAATTCTAGAGCATTCCGAAGGCTTCATCAAAATTCGAATTGTCGGAATATGTTAGTGAATGTTCCAAACAGTGAGGATGTTGATTTGTATGCAGATAAAAGTTTATACTCAAAATGTCAAGAATAATGGTTTTTGGTGCTTTGATTTGTCATAGTCATCATACGGTAAACATAAAAAGCGAGAACTAATTAACTTATAACTTTGTGCAATAATGACAATCAGTGTTTCTGAGTTTATCTCGCTATATAATAGTGCGTTTCGCTGCCATTTGTTATAGATATAATGAGCGCAAAGGAGGCACAACTAAATAATAGCAGCATGGCTAGAAAACAAAGATTCTGTACGAAATTCAGACAAAAATAAAGCAGATGAGTTCACTACCGATTGAATATTATTGGGAAACAACTGTACTTTGATACAGATTTTTCATTTGACATATTTTGTATTAGCATTATGGGCCTAAAAAGCATTTATGAATTCCATATTTTAAGTCAAAAGAAGCTGCGTTGGCAAGCTTTTTTGTTTAAGCCTATCATGATTTTTAGTTCAAAATGACCTTTACTTCTCAAAATACATTAATGGTTATCAAAAAAAAAATACGACAGATATCAATGTTTCAATTTTATTGCTTAGAAAATAAATAAAGACAAGAAAAAGTAAAATTCATTTATCGTTATTTATCAAGATTCATTTATCAGGCACGAAGAACTATAATTTCATTTGAATCATATGTCGATATGGCTATATCAGCACGCGATAAATGTACAAATTTTACTCCAATCAATTGATTATTTTCAATATGATAATTACATTCGTGTGAAATCTTAATTTAAAACAACAAACAAATAAATTAAAGTTCCGTTCATTCAAAATAAGTCTAATTTACCTGTAAATTTTCTGCATCACCTGATAACTTCCAAATTCTAACATAACAATCATCACTAACAGAAGCCACTAATCCTTCTTCATTACAATCAATTGCATTAATACATCGTGCATGTGCAGTAATCGAACCAGCAATGTGAGCTATTTTATTTCATTAACTTAATAAAAGAAAAATATTCATATATTCACTCACTACTTCCAGTATCAAAAAATCGAATCATTCCATTGGCATAACCAGCTGCTATACAATTTTTCCATATTGATAATGATGTTATGCCACTATCGTCCATTGGTTCAATAACATTCTTTTGTAACATTGTACGATTATCCCAGATTAATATTGTGCCATTTGTATCACTTGAAATTAACAGTTCATTATTTGATACTAAACCTGTTATACCATATTGATGAGCTACAATATGAAAATTATTTTTCATCTATTTATGATTTCGTTATTTACCTGGAATGGTTTCTTTTAAAAATATATTGGTACCTTTTGGAGGAACGCTAAATAGGAGTATTTCACCTTGATGATTACCTAAAGGAATACGTAATATTTATTGATAATAATTTGAACTTACCAACACAAAGTAAATTTTGACCAACACCAGCAATACCTCGCGAATAAATAGATGATTCTAAACATAATAAATATCATGTAAATTTATTTTAAAGTTTTTTTATTTTACCTGTTCGATTGGGAGGAGTTTTATCAAGCATATGAATGTGAAGATTCGTTGTTCCATCCGGTTCATAAATCTACATTCAAGATAATGAAAATACGATTCTACAAATAAAGTTTTTTCATAATGAATGGAGAATTACTGTATTTTTACCTTTTATTAATTAGTACGTGTTATTTAAAAATAAACTATAACACAAGACTCAGCATGTAAAGCTTCAAAAGTTACAATAAAGATCTTATTTAATAAATGCATCATTTGTATTTAAAATGGACGATATTCTATATGATCAAGTGCTGGATTCTATGAACAAAATTATTTTTTGATACCCGATGAATTTTCTTTGTTATTTCATCAATTAAAGCATCATCGTTTTTAACTTGCACCCATTACATATTATTAGTAACACCATCGCACAAGTAGTTATTCATAACGTCGAGATCAAGATGTTTTGATGGCTATCTGAGCTGGTTTAGAAAACTCATGAAAACTTTCTTCATATAATGTAAATAATTTCTGATGCGTATGTGATGTTGTGTTGTTATGTTCATAGATGAAATCATCGGCTAGGAACCGTTTGCCTTCAAGTTGTATTTGTAGAATAACAACGTCAATATAATTTCCCTGAGATAATGTTCTACTAGGTTTACATATAATTGGAGACATAAGACTATTTTCAGATGCATCCGATCATATCGGCATTTTTTTTTCTGATTCATCAACTTATTAATCGCTTTTGATCGAGACTATGTGCGATTTAATCTTTTTATTGCGGGAAATGAGCAAATAAAACATTCTGAAACTTTTAAGATAAACTATTCTGGTTGAGATTTGTCTCTGTGCAAAGTTTTCTAGTATTTACAGAGGGAACACACTATTGACTTAAAAAATACCATAAAAATGCAGCATCTCAATAGCAACAAGCTAACAGTCTCAAGTATTTTTAGAGTATTCACAGCTCATTAGGGTTGATATGATACACATAGTTCAGACTCCACAGTGATTAATCAATTGAGAGACTTCCCTCGTTAGCCTTTTCACTCATTCTCTCTTGTTCGTCTGCTTCTTGTCGACTTGCAGCATCAACATATTTTAATGAAGAATATTTTTTCATCTATCAATAGAATTGTCTTTTATCGATCAGATAAAAACAAACAAACTGATTGTTGACAAAGAAATATGATCTTGCTCCTAACGTCCAAAATTGAGTTACACAGAATTTCGTCCATTTCAAAACAAAAGGCATATGTATTAAATAAGGTTTTTTTTGTTGTAACTTGTAGAGCTTCATATACTGCACCTTCTGTTAGACTTTGTTTTTAAATAAAAAGTAATTCATGTCAATAGGAAAAAAACTTGACATTCATTATGAGTTACTCATTATATCTTACCTGGATACTTTTTGTACAAGCTAAAACAAGTAAATTTCGAACTGGTAAATTAACATATGCAGCCTATTAGAAATAACCAACAATAAAAAAATATCTCTATCAATGATTATCTTTTTTACTTGAACAACATAGGCAATAAATCGAGCATCATTTTCCGGTACAGGAGTATTATTATTTCCAATAGCTCGGCATATCACTTGACCTTGTATTTGTTTCATTCCATCTTCGGATACAGTTGCCTAAATTAGTCGTTTTATAAATAGTTTATGATTATTAACATTTCAATTCTACCATAGCAAAACCACTTTTATGTGATACACCAAACATTTTCGATTGACGTGGTTCAGTTGGACGATATATGGTAAGATTATTCGACAGATGAGATGCACTCCATTTTACTAGAATGGGTTGAGCCGCTGGTGTATATGAAATTGGCATTTTAGAATAGAATGATCTAAACGCAAAATGAACGACATAGAACAGAAGTTTCTTTTTTTTTGAATATAAAATCAAACGCAAAATGTTTTCCTACACTTTTAGAAGATCACACCATTTTTACAATTAAATATCCAACTAAATGTAACGACGTTATACATAAGTTATCGTCACAAAATGAACATAGTTACTTGAGCTAGTATTAAAACTAATTGCTCTTCTTACTGACGTATATTAAACCTAATAAAAAGTCATTTTGAAGCAATTATTAAGTTATCACATTTTATATAATGATTAAATGTAACGAGAGTATGTCTTTTCACATCTTCGGCATCAATAATTACTTTTTTTGCATCCTCTACTTGGCTAGCAAATAGTTTTAAAAAACTATGAATACAAAAAATGGTTAGTCGAAGTCGACTCATTTTGTTTGTTCAGTTAAACATTGAAACCAATAAAACAAGCATACAACAACTTTTAAAACTGACTGTTTCTTCATGCTGTGACTAGGGAAGATTTACTACTTTAAAGAATAAATTATAATATTCAATGATCTATTAAAAAATCAAATGCTTGTCTTCGAACATCACTTCATACATCTGATATAAGAGAACATTTCAGAAATGGAACTTTCTATAACAATTAAAAGGTGTCTTGTGATCAAAAATAATTTCAGAAAGAAAACTTTTTCTTAAATCTGCTGCATGTATCTCGTAACTTTAAAAACTTAAGATAATTTC